ATGGGTGTTCTCCGGGTCATATGGGTGTTCTCTGGGTCATATGGGTGTTCTCCTGGTCATATGGGTGTTTTCCGGGTCATATGGGTGTTCTCTGGGTCATATGGGTGTTCTCTGGGTCATATGGGTGTTCTCCTGGTCATATGGGTGTTTTCCGGGTCATATGGGTGTTTTCCGGGTCATATGGGTGTTCTCCGGGTCATATGGGCATTCTCCGGGTCATATGGGTGTTCTCATGGGTGTTCTCTGGGTCATATGGGTGTTCTCTGGGTCATATGGGTATTCTCCGGGTCATATGGGTGTTCTCCGGGTCATATGGGCGTTCTCCGGGTCATATGGGTGTTCTCATGGGTATTCTCCGGGTCATATGGGTGTTCTCCGGGTCATATGGGTATTCTCCGGGTCATATGGGCGTTCTCCGGGTCATATGGGCATTCTCCGGGTCATATGGGTGTTCTCATGGGTGTTCTCTGGGTCATATGGGTGTTCTCTGGGTCATATTGGTATTCTCCGGGTCATATGGGTGTTCTCCGGGTCATATGGGCATTCTCCGGGTCATATGGGTGTTCTCATGGGTGTTCTCTGGGTCATATGGGCATTCTCCGGGTCATGTGGGTGTTCTCTGGGTCATATGGGTGTTCTCCGGGTCATATGGGCGTTCTCCGGGTCATATGGGCATTCTCCGGGTCATATGGGTGTTCTCATGGGTGTTCTCTGGGTCATATGGGTGTTCTCTGGGTCATATGGGTATTCTCCGGGTCATATGGGTGTTCTCATGGGTGTTCTCTGGGTCATATGGGTGTTCTCTGGGTCATATGGGTATTCTCCGGGTCATATGGGTGTTCTCCGGGTCATATGGGCATTCTCCGGGTCATATGGGTGTTCTCATGGGTGTTCTCTGGGTCTTATGGGTGTTCTCCGGGTCATATGGGTGTTCTCCGGGTCATATGGGTGTTCTCCGGGTCATATGTGTATTCTCTCTAAGTCTTGGTTCCTCAACAAACAAGCATATCTGCACATTGCCGGTGTTGTGCCTAATTTCGACCCCCTGCCAAATTATTATCTCCCTCGTTGAAGTCAGTACCTGACTGCTTAATCCCAACCCCGCCCCTAATCCTACCCCCTCCCCCACTACTAATCCTAAACCTACCAATGCTAAGGGGGTAATAATTTGGCGGCGGTCGAAATTTGGCACAACACCTGAGTCCTCCTTTTATACCCACGACGTAAGGTGGAGATACACTATGCAAATTCCGCAGACCCATGGCATTTCTTTGCCATTGTCTCTTTTTTGTATGCTTGAAGTCGATAGGCTTTCTATTATTTACCTTTTGAGTTTTGATAAATCATTTTCTTACTGTTGCAGATGACTTAAGCAATCTAAAATAGTTTTAGCTAAATAACAGGTCTGGATCTCCATCTTTTTACCACATTACGACAACAAAAGCACTTGAACACAACACACTGGTAAATACCAGTTCACAAGTGGAAAATATCCTATTTTCCATAGCACGTGAACATAGCATTAATGCATCTTTGCTGAATAAAATGAATAATGTATTTATTTAAAACAGACCCCAAAACTATATGGTTTAATATAAATGTTAAAGATAATCGTGCACTTATGCCTGCAACAAAGTAGCCACCAACAACCAAATATAAATATGATTATGAATATAATATTTAATTAACTTTAGCTCATTGATCAGTAGCAGTATAGACAAACAAAGTAATCAAAATGGAGATTTTCAGGAGGAGAAAAACTCAAATGATGAGCAACGACACATGATAAAAGTGTGTATTTATTTTTTGTGAGTCACTGCTCTTATCCAGATCTGGAGCTTGTTTAATCATTACATTTTCTGTTTAGTCATGGATGGTATGTGTTTTACAGTTAGCTCATTTCACAGGACACAAACTTCTGGCAGAGGCTTAAATCTTGTTTGTGTTCACCCTGCCTCTTAATTCTTTAATATATATATATATATATATATATATATATTCTTTCTTGTAATGCGTCCTTGGGGATTGACAGGTACAATGGTACCATGTGGATTACACTAAATTCAACCTACAATATTGAAAGCTTTACTTGGAGAACAGCAGCTGTTGTAATATGAAAAGGAAAATGGATTTAAAACCAAATGTTCTGATAAGAAATTATCTTTGGCTTTCTTGTCACCTCCATGTTTGATGAGCATAAGTGTCCAAAATAAATCAGCAAAGCTTATTTGCCTTTATTGAGACAGCTCCTGTCTGAATAATGACTGGTGAGCCGCACCAGCTCATGAATACAGTTTGTTTGTATATGTGCGCGCGCATGTGTGCGTGTGTGTCGTGCCTCTCCTGTTGGGAACACCTTTCATTCAGAGCTCTAGCAGGCAGCAGCTGTGGCCAGCTGCCAGACACAAACGTGCCCAGAGTTAATGTGTTAGTGTGATTCAGGCGAAACTGCTGGGTCAGTGTCTCAGCGTGCAGCGGCCTCTTTCTCTTTCTCACTCTTTTATTCACACAGTCTCTTTTGATTCAAAAACTTTTTGTGCTTTTCCAAGGCCACTACAACACGAACCGCAATCAAAGGCAACCAGGCCATTAGTGAAGACCTGTTGGGGGAACCAAATGTTCTGTGCTTGCACCTGTGTGACCTCTTGAAAACAAACAGGTGTCAGAGAGGAGACTATTCAGCGCACTGTGAAACACCATCAGACTTTTATCTTCCTCAATAGTTGACATGAAAGTCCCTTTCTTCTTGAAAGGACACACATGATAACTTAAAGAAAGGCCTTTGACTACAAATTTACTTAAAGGACAACTCCGGTGCAAAATGAACCTTTGGTCTAATAAAACATTGAAGCGCTCAAACATTGTACATTATATGCTCAGTAGCATGGACTTGAATGTTGTGTATCTACACTGTAAAAAATATATTATTGGTTTAACTTAAACAAGTAAGAAACCTGGTTGCCTTAAATGTAAGTTGATTGAGCTGGAAAAAGCTGGAAAAAGAGTTAATACAGTGAAGGAGATTAATTGAATCATCAGAAACTCAAAATAATAAGTTAGCTCCACTGAAAAAATTATTTAAGTTGATTTGACAAAAGAAAAAAATGTTATGATAACAATCTTGAAAATATTTTTTTACAGTGTCTTGTATTGGACATTTAGAAAACACTTTGTCTTCATTAAAGTCCTGAGTGGCAAGCGCAACTACAAACTGTATTACAAATGAAATGAAACTAGATGAAAACATCACAAAAGTATTTGTGTGTTTTTGAAAAAGTGTTTTTGAAAAAGTAGCGATTCATTTTGAGAAAAGTTGCGATTCTTTTTTGAAAAGTATCGATTCTTTTTTTTTAAATTAGCGATTCTTTTTTTAAGGAAAGTGTTGATTCTTTTTGAAAAAGTAGCAATTCTTTATAAGGAGAGTAGCGATTCATTTTAGGGTAAGTAGCAATTGTTTTTTAAGAAAAGCAGTTTCCAGATTATTACCATTAATTCCCATGTAGTCCGGTTAATTACTATGGAAAGTTTCCAACTTAAATTCCCAGACTTTTGTAACCCTTGTAATAAGTGGAATGATGTATAGCCAACAGTACTTGCGAAACTTATTCTGAAATGGTTCATTTTGCAATGACGGCTGGCTGACCTTATGTAGTTCATACAATATTTCATCCCTTCTTTAATGTTAGTGTTTGAAAATTTGCCCATAACAAGAAAGATAACTGTTCATTGGGGCATGGTTATTGATTTTCTCTCTCTCCCTCTATGGTTGACACATGTTGTCTTGCGGTATGAAGACAGCCTCTGAGATGTCTTATCTGCAGCTGCTTTGAGGTTTGATACATAGTTTGACTGATGTGTTCTCGAGGGGTGGGCACCTCCTGGAAAGACCAAGGTGACTCTTGCAGCTTTATACTATTTAGGAGAACTGAGTTTTAAAATACACACCCAGCTGATGCGATCAGATTTCAGTGGTATATTCCTGGCTTTTAAATGACTGCATTCATCATTCAAACTTCCAACTTATTTTTAATTGAGCAGCAGTGTCTTCAAATGTTATTTCACTGACATCCATTAAATGGACATGACACTTAAGTAAACAAAAGAAAGACTTTCTCTTTTGATAAAGGAACAGATAAAGAGAGAAATCTACCTCTAAAAAAGGCAGGCTGGCCACACATGTTGCCAAGCAACTAATTGTGAGAATGTGAGCAGAGGTGCAGTGAAAGTTTTGTTCTAACTTCTGATGAGGTAATTTTAGCATACATGTCTGTATCTGTTGTAGATAATGTTCTTGGTAAATGAAACAACCAGTTGTAGTGGGCCTCAAAAAGTATGAGAGAAATATAGGTTTGGAAAGATATTTTTATTTTTTTATTTTCTATTGCGCAATATTCTTTCTGACAGCATCCCCACACTGTTGGGCTATTCGGTGTGACACAACACCAAGTCAGGGTAAGATGACACTTAATATTCTGAATTTTACTCATTCTGAATCGTTCTGAATCCCATCTATTCTCAGCTTTATATATATTTTATAATTATATATATATATATATATATATATATATATATATATATATTAAACTTACCCATGTTCAAGTGTTGAGAAAAATGAATGAATTAGGCTACAATAAAAAAAAAAAATTATAACCACTTTTTTTTGTTGCTTCTAGCAATTATGATTTTGTTAAATGTAGGCTATGCCCCTTTAAAATGTACAATTATAATATTTTTTTTCCCCCAAATGTATGTTCTCCAAAATCGCTAAAATAATCGTTAATAGAATTAAGGAAGCATTTTTTTTTATTATTTTTTTTTTTTTTTACAATTCTCACCTGAATCACATCTAATGATCTAATTTTGGTTATGTTTAATTTTTACTCCTCGTGTTGCAAAAACATAAAAGTCGTGATTTTATCCCTTTAATGTAGGCTACTCTTAGATATATAAAGTTTAGTTAATGAAGGAGCAACCCCGCACTGAAATGCTGTAATGATGTAATATCCGCTGAGAGTCTCCACACATCTCAAACTTTTCTTCTCTCAGAGAGACGATGACAGCGCAAGCACTTTCAGCGGCTCTGTCGAGGGTTCCCGATCCCAAGACACCGTCGAGAAGCTCGATCTGAAACACCGGAGACTGGATCCGCTTGTTACCGAGACGCAGGAGAGACTCGTCTGGAGGCAGAATGCGGGCGCTGTTCGTGGTGCTGAAACCGCTGTGTTTACTCGCTCTGCTCGGCTACTGCCCTTCCGCGGTGAGTGATGCGCACCCGCACCTTACTGACTTACACAGAAACTTGACATGTCTGATCCCAGCTCCGACTACACCACTGACTCATAGAACATAACACTTAATGGAAATGCAAAGTGACAAACAAGGCTGTCGGCGTTATGTTATGATGTCTTGTGAGAATTATGCGTTCTTCCGATGATATCATTTTAATGACAACCTCAGAGAGATGGAGAGTAGGAAATGCAGTAACACTTAAAAATCTTGATCGACGTGATGGGATACCCTAAAACTGTGTTTAAAAATCGTGTTTTCTATTTCATGTAACTTTATCTATGATTGTAGCTCAAATGGTCACAGAATATTACCTATTAGAGCGTCTGTTCAGTTATAGTGAACGATCTACTGTGCATTACAGCTTTCAGCTTGCGGTCTCTCATTTATGGGGTTGTTTCAAAGGTTTTAAGCATCAGTCTGACTCTGTACCGAGCATTGGCTGTTTATTTTACCTTAGATCACACTTTATCTTAGGTGTCTTTTTTTTTAGATAAATGTCATTTACATTAAAATATAAATAATATGATCCAATGTTGTTCTTAGGAACTGTCATGAGATTTCCATTTGCTGCTACTACGGTTATAGGGATAGCGTTATGAATAAGGTTTATAGTCTGTTGGAGAAAAACATGAATATTGCATGTGACTTTTCACAGAACAAGAGTTACCGTGTGTAGCCCACCACCACCCCCTCTTTTCTCCACTCTATTACAACTATTATATTAGTGATCTGTTTACTCTGCAATGTAAATGAAGATGCATGTTCCTTCAGTAAGTACAAGAGTAGCCTATAATTACATGCAGTTGTTTTAAATATAGATTGTACATCATTTTGTAAATAGTTAAAAACATAATAAATATAAAGCTGTAATGTACTATTTTAGCACCAATATAATTTGTTATACCGAGAGCTCAATAGTAATCTACAGTTCCAGATATTTATAAATGAGGACATGTTTCCTTCCTTAGCATTCTGAGTCTATTCTCAGCACCACTAGTGATCTGTATACAATTACTAAGGGTTTATTTTGGCACTGGGTCAAGATCAGATCAACTATCTATCATGTAGCACCAAGATAACTGCATGAATTTCACATGTCATGTGCAACTGGAAACCAAAGAAATCCGTCGTGTCTGTGAGATTGTGATGAGGATCTCTCTCACCCAGGCTTAATTAACCCAGCTGCAGGTCTTATTTGAGGAGCAGAATCCCACTGTTCATATCTCATAATGATAGTGAACTAGCAGGAAGTACCCATCCAACTTGGATATGTTACAATTTGCTGAAATTGCAGTTGTTAGTTGCAGCAGCATGGGGAAGTGTGCCAGAATGTGTAAAGAACTCTCTTTTTCAGCTCGCCTGTAAAAGGCTAGTCCCCAGAGCCGGCCTTTCAAAGCCCGCTGCCAGAGTGGGAAAAAAAAATGAATATGGGTGTTTACAAAGCTCCTTTATTGTTCCAGACAATTGAGAGAAATTTGGGGGGAATGAATGCAGAGAGAGAGGCTTTATCATGAAGGTGTTGCAGTGGGATGCTATTTATCGTCAAAACACACGTTTTTTTTTTTTTTTGTCTGGCATGTTTTAGTGGTGTGTTTCAGAATTATGAATGAGTGTGAATCAAAATATATATTCAGTGAAGTACATAGAAACTTCACTATTATTTCTCCTGTGCTTGTATTAATTTGAAAATATTTTTAAAATGAAGTTTATAATGTCTTATACAGAGACACAGATTTGGGATCCTTTCAGCCAGAAGGTTTGGTTACACTTTACTTAAAGCTACACTGTGTGATTTTTACCCCCATCTAGTGGTGAAAAGGTGTCTGTACCTCTCAATTCCGTTTTCGTTTTAACTCCTACGGTGGCCAATGTAGTCCAAGATTAACATGGCTTCCAGTTCGACCTCGTCCATGAGTGCTAACTCAAACGTATAAGCGAAAGGCGAAGCTTGAATTAATGGGTATGTCACTCTTTGGCTAATGTACTTTCAAGATGGAGGGGCAACATGGCAACCCCTTACCCGTATGTATTTTCAATGGCATATTGAGAATACTTTATTACTTGAACGAAGTAAATGTACATTAATGAGGACATATATTTTGAAAAACTACGTGTTTTTAGCTAAGAATAAAGAGAGTTTCACAGTGTAGCATTAAAAGTCTGTATGTATAATGCATTATAAATGTATTCATAATGTATATTGCGTTGTGTCTATTAACCAAAGTTAATATTATAGTATTTTGCGGTTACATCTGAAATTGTTTCGGTGTTTTAAGTTGTAAGTGAATAGTATCATGTTATATAATAACTGTGGTTACAATTATTCAGCTCATACAATGTATTACAAGGTGCATTACATTTATATATATTAGCTATAAATATGAGGGCAATGCTTGTGGAATCAAGAAATTTTAGGCAGGCCATTCATTTTAAAGGGGTCATGACAAGGATTTTTATCATTCCTTTAGAAACTAAGGCCTTGAATACACATGGGAAATCAATTAGAAACTGAAACGGGTGCATAACAATCACACACCGATTTGCATTTTTACACAACATTCTCTCCATTTAACAACTGTAATAAGTTATACATTTCAAACTGGTTAATAAAACAAAGCAGTGGCGGTGAATGCTCTGCCATGCAAATCTATTGTAGTTCTCATGAAATATCTACATTTCAGTTTCTCTGCTTAAAGGCGTAAAAATGCCTTCACTGCATTAAGAAGGTCATTAAAGACTTAGACTTGGTTTATTTGTAGACAAACAACAGTGGGATTCCTCACGCATGCCTGTGTTTGTGTACAGACCATCAGACCAAAGGAAGGCTGGCAGGTGTACAGTTCTGCGCAGGATGCCGACGGCCGCTGCATCTGTACGGTGGTGGCACCAGAACAGAGCTTGTGCTCCAGAGATGCAAAGAGCAGACAGCTCCGCCAGTTACTGGAGAAGGTGTGTGCGCGCACATTTTAAAGTCACTTAATATTGAGATCTGGTTCGGATAACAAAAGCTCTCATTGTAGTGATTTGAAAGCATTATGCCAGACTGCTCTCCATTGTAATCTGTTAAGAATGCCGCTGGCTTCTCTGCAGATGATTGTGGAGGAGCATAAAGATGGTAATGCGTAAAGGCCTAAAGGGTGTTTTAGACCCCCTATCGTTCCTACTTCCTTCGCTTTTCTTCTCTGTTACAGTAAAAGGCCAACTTATTGGCCCATAAGACGTCTCTGTGTCTTTTTTTGTTTGGAGGATGTCAGTGAAGGAGGTACTAGGGTTAACCGATACAGTCGCTTCTTCTTTCACCCTTTTTATGTGTCAGTGGTGGTTTGTCTCTGAGATCTTTCCGTCTTTCCTTTGGTTTTTGTTGAGTTGAATTATGGAAATGCGTAATTCCTTAGAGAAATATCATTTAAATATATCACATCTTCCTTCTCGCTGTTCAAAGAATGATTTAACGGATGCTAACTTCTATTCTTCTCTTTAGATTCAGAACATGTCGCAATCAATCGAAGTGCTGAACCTGAGGACCCAGAGGGATTTCCAGTATGTCATGAAAATGGAGAGCCAGATGAAAGGACTCCGATCAAAGTTCAGACAAATCGAGTCGAACCGAAGAACGTTATTGACTAAAAACTTTCAGGTGGGCTACCATTAAAGTCGTGCCTCGGAGAAAATCAATGATCCTTTCTCATATGAACAGAACGGTTTGAAAAAGCCAACCTCTTGCCATTACTTTCCAAGAATGAAGAATCATTTCCCGCTTCTAATCTTTATCCTTCACCAGCATTTGAAAAGGCCACGTGCGATTCAACATTCTTGGAGATCCTGTAAACCTGTAAAGGTCATGTTTCATTTCCAGGCAGTCTAACATGTCGGAGAACTTCTTGCGGGCTGTGCTGCGCTCTTACATCTGTTTCTGTTAATGTAGGCAAATCTTCCCCCATGTGATTCCCATTTAAATGTCTATCGGGTGTTTTCAGGAGCTGAAGGGGAAGATGAATGAACTGCAGCCGCTGATTCCAGTGCTGGAGCAGTATAAGACTGATGCCATGCTCATTTCCCAGTTCAAGCTGGAGATCAGGAACCTGTCTGTGGTGCTGACTGCTATCCAGGAGGAGATAGGAGCGTATGATTATGAGGAACTCCAGCAGAGGGTCCTTGGCTTGGAGGGAAGACTGAGGAACTGCATGAACAAGCTCAGTGAGTTTGAAACTCAACTTGATTTTGATGGCATGGTATGTGTATTCATTTCAGACTGAAAATACTCTTACGTTGAAGATGTCTATAACAGCTGATATTCTTTATCATTCTCCATTCTGTCAGCCTGTGGTAAGTTGATGAAAATCACAGGACCCATCACCGTAAAGACATCGGGAACGAGGTTTGGAGCATGGATGACAGACCCTCAGGCTTCACCTAAGAACAACAAGGTAATCTATGGCTATGCAACTGTGTTTCCTTTTCAACAGGATTGCTTTCAGGAACTATTTTTTCTCATTATTTTTCCTTCATAAAAAAAAAAAAACTTGAATAAAAAGTTCAAAGGCATGAACAGAACCAACAAGCTCTGAAATCCATCACAGCATATAAAACTTGATTTGAAGCACAAATTGACACTTCGCTAAGCCACGCCCGAAAACCTCCACTGGCCAATCGTGTCTAAGCAACTATAACTTGACGAGGGAGGTCTGGCAAGCTTTCGAGCGAGGGAAACATGCTGAAGCATTGTGCAAATCTGATACCCTGTATCCTAAAAGTTTGGACGGTGGAGTGGAATTGTTTATCCCCCCAAAAATTATTATCAAGCAGTGTGGGAGACCCATTCACAACTAAATGTCGACAGGATTAACAAATTGCCTATTGCTTGGAAATATTGACGGTTCTTTGGTCATAATGCATTTTAACGTAAAATAAGATGATTAAAGACAAGACGGAGGCTTACTGACATACTTTAAAATATATTTCAGCATTATATATTTTCAATTGATGGCCTACTACCCCTTACTAAGCAACTTTAATCTGATCGCGGCACTCCCGGTGTTAGTGTTATTCCACAAGATTTGTGGATAAGCTGTTTGATTTATAATTATTAGGATTATTTTCACATTTCACATACCCTGCTGTGCACGAGCGTAGCTGTTCCTCAATTCGTGTTACCCAATTGAATAGTCAGCATTTGCTTGCGCTGGGACTATAGGCTTTAGCTTCTATTTTTAAGAAATTATTATCTAATCGGTTGAATATTATGTCGTTAATATATCCCTCGAATGGAGTCCGTTTTGTCGTGGTCTCTCAGATATTTCACATGTTCGCCAAAAATTACTAATTTTGTCATTGGGAATGTCTGACACCGGTCCATCCACACTATTGATGTGCCAGCCGCGAAAGCTTGACAGGCGTAGCAACAGTAACTAGGGAGGGAGGGGCTTAGCGAGGGTCAATTACATGAACATTTAATGGTGGGATGACCTGACACATTATTAATAATTTACTGAAATTAAAAAAAGAATTATTAATATTTATGTTAAAAAAATACAACAATATTTTAAACTTTATTTTTTTTTTAAACGTAAAAATAGATCAAAATAAATTTGTGAAATTCTAAAGAACAACATTTATTTTAAATAAATTTCTCTTTTAATGATTTGATTTATAAATCACACTAATATATGTCTTCTGCAAAAGAGTAACTTAAAAAAAATAGTAACTTTCTGCATCGAGAAAATGAATGAGATTTTTATTTCCTGATCCCAATTGTTGTGCTCTATAAATGATTCCTTTCATATAATTCAAATTCAAGTTTCGAATGTTACTCATCACATTTGTAACGTTCCACTGCAGGTTTGGTACATGGACAGCTATACAAACAACAAGATAGTCAGGGAGTACAAATCGGTGGGCGACTTCGTAGCTGGGATTGAGTCAAGAACCTACAACCTTCCGTTCCACTGGGCCGGCACCAATCATGTGGTCTTCAACGGCTCCCTTTACTACAACAAGTACCAGAGCAACATCATCGTCAGATACCACTTCGAAAGTGGCCGGGTCACGACCCAACGAGCACTTGAGTCTGCTGGCTTCCACAACGTCTACCCGTACACCTGGGGCGGCTTCTCCGACATCGACATGATGGCAGACGAGCTTGGTTTATGGGCCATCTACGCCACCAATCAGAATGCAGGGAATATAGTGATCAGCCGGCTGGATCCGCTTACCATTCAGGTGCTGAACTCTTGGAACACTGAATACTCCAAACGAAACGCAGGTGAGTCCTTCATGATATGCGGCACGCTGTACATCACCAACTCCCATCTGACCGGGGCTAAGGTGTATTACTCTTATTCCACCAAAACCTCTACCTATGAGTATATGGACATCCCCATCCATAACCAGTACTTTCACATGTCCATGCTGGATTACAACTCCAGGGATCGTGCACTTTACGGCTGGAACAATGGCCACCAGGTACTGTTTAACGTCACGCTGTTCCACATTATTAAAACTGATAATGAATCCTGAGAGAATCTTTCTGCTGATGCCGTTTCTGCAGTTACATTGATCTGTAATCCCCATTTGGTATTGCTGTGAAATAAGGGGTTTTATATGTTCTCAGTCAAAAGATGAGCTTAGTTTGAGGTTCAGTGTCTCTGGTGATGTCCGTCAGCATTGCACTCTTCCGTTTGTAAAACAATCATGATGATTAAGTTCACTTAACTCAGAAAATGACATGAATGAACTTCTAAAGCTCTATTTAAATGTTGTTTGTGCAACTTTCAGTGCGTAACAGTGGTAGTCAGGTGTGATACTCATTCAACCAACAATGTAACAAACTAGAAACTTAGAAATGTTAAGTAAAAGAAATCTTATTATGGACATTATATATTGATCTGTCAGATTGCATCTCATAGCGCTTGCCAAGTATTTAGGGAAGTTAGGACATATTTATAAACTCGTTTTATGATTAAAAGGGACTGTTCATCTAAAAATAAAAAATCCTCACCCTCATGTTGTTCCAAAACTGCATGATTTCCTTTCTTCTATGGAACTCAAAAGAAGACATTTTGAGAAATATATATTTACACCATGGTTGTCCACAAAATGAAAATCAATGGGCTCCAAACTTATTCTTTTATGTTTCACAGAAGAAAGTCATACAGATTTGGAATGAGAGAGAGAGAGAGAATAATGAGTGTAATGATGTGTAAATGATGAAAGAAGTTTATGGTGAGTTATTTCTTTAAAATCAATCCATGCTGAAAAGAAAACAATTCGCAGTGTACAGTGTAATTAAAATAAATAATTGTTAGATTAAGCGTTTATGGTTTTATGTTGTTGCCTGTGTGCTTCAAAATGCATTGCATTCAAACATATCTCAACTTTCCCACAGAACTGCAGACAGCTGTCTGGGGTGTTTTGTCTGAAATGCTATTATTGAATAATGTAACCTCTTCCTAACCTTTTCAAAAATAATGCAACAAAGGCTTTGTTCGTGTTTGCTTTTTTTCTGTCCTAGGAAATACATGGATGAGAGAATTTCTGAAATTCACCGAGGGATGAGATTTTGCCTTTGATGTTGATGAAAGATAGAAAAAAAAAAAATCAAATGTTTTATAGTTTTCTATATTAATTATCTCAAAGAGTGCAGAAAATGACTTAATTTGGTGACAAAAAGAATGACCAGCCCCAAATATCTGGGAAAACCATAATTTCTTGTGTTCTGTTTTACTGTCCCTGCTAATTGATAATAGTAATGAAGATTCAGAATGTTCAAACATTCACACAGACCAGCTTATGCTGTTGTCTTCTCAACACATGATTCAGTCAGTTATTTTCTATGCCAGAGGATGCTCTATCAGTATTCATAAACCTCAATGACAAGCTTCTAAAACAAAGTCATTCAAAAGTCAAAGGAACATTTGCTGATTTTTTTTTCTTCCCATCTGCTGATTCAGAATCTCTGCAGGCCCCAGAATCAGAGAAACATTATTCAGCAAAGAATAAGTAGCTATACAGTCAACCGGTTGTTATCGCAACTGATGGCGATCAGGTCTTGCATCCTTGTAGATTTTATTAAAGGGGTTTGACTCGCTATAATAACCATCTGACTATATTTTACTGTATTGTCACCCCTTATCCTGTGGGTGGCACTAGTAGGTTTTGAGTCTACAGAAGTGTGCTATACGTTCATAAACTTAAGTGTGCGTGCTGCTTGTCTTTTTACAAAGATATAACATATTGGCGACGAGAATGCCATGGATTTTTAGTCAGCCTACACCTTTTCTACAAAATATGGGTGAGCCGCCGATTCCATTCAAGGCATGAAGCTTTTTTTCGGAAATTTCATGGACGAAGAGCTGTCGGAAGCGAAGCTCGAAAATTGGCCATTATAAGGCATTATTAGAACCAAGCTGTATTGGTAGCCGGGTATGGATGCACAGGCTGAGACAGCCGTCAAATTATGCATTACGTGTCGTCAAACACATGACATAACAAGTCAATGGTCGTTCGCACCTCGCCACTATCCTGTACCCCTTCCAGATGGAGCATGGTAGAAACGTGCTTTACACAACGTGGGGCCCTTTGACATAGATCCAACAGACAGAGTGTCATTTTGCTGTGACTTTACTAAGTGGCCAGAGATTGCTTTCATGCCTCAGGTAACCTCTTCAGCTGTCATTCAGTTTCTTTCAACTGTGTTCAGTTCAGTGAATTATTCAAAATAATATTAAATAAACATAACTATATATAAAATTACATCTAAACGTATGAAAGTTTAGTTTCAAAGACGGAAGGACAGTCAATTTTGAAGACTCTGCCATAATCCCGTTTTCCCCGGTTTTCCTCTGCTTTAATCTCCCCAACCGGAAACAGACGAGCATCCTCCTTGCGTCAAATGCGGAATTTAAATGCGTGCGGCTCGCAAGACCAAACGCAGGCCCAAACGAGTGTGTGCGGCGTGCCTGTTGTTTTGTTTCCGGTCTAGCTAGATCCGCTTGTGCTTTGGTCAACGAAGAAACAATAAATTGCCTCAATAAACTCGTAAACTATCATACTAACTATTAATCAGCAGTAATTAGGAGTTTATTGAGGCAAAATACATAGTTAATAGTGAGAATTAGACCCTAATTTGGAGTGTGACCCAAACTTTATGCTGGTCGACATTCATAACATCACATGAACAACAAGAAAACAGCACCACGAACTGACGGCGGTATTTACTTTTAAGGTTGGCTACCTAGTCATTGTTGGACTTTTTACATTTTTTTTTTTCATATTCTCCTTTTGTGGTCCGAGAAAGCAAGAATGGCATTCGGCATTAAAACAGCTGTACCAGGGTGAGTATGATGACTGACTTTACATTTTAGAGTTGTAACGATCAGAGAAGATGATAGACTCACTTAACAGTTTTAAAGCTATTTATTAAACAGTCTAGACTTGCTACAGAGTGAACTAACCCTTTAAAAATACGTATTTCTCCACCTACTACAGTATGTCCAATTAAAAATGATCAAGAACATTAAAAATAAAACATTACAAATCTCTTATACTTCTTATAAATCTTAGTTTGTTTTTTTTTTGTTTTTTTTTTTTTTTTGTTTTACAAATGCAGTCATGTAAGGTGAAATTAGGATCGGTCCACTTACCCATTCAGTCCTATTCACACATCACATTAAAGATGTCTCAACGACAGACAATATAATCACAACTTATTATGAGAAAAATGAATGAGAGTCTTCTTGTAATTTGTCGTGTGTGACCTGGCTCCAGTCAGCCCTGTGCTCTGGGGTGTCTCAGTGTTGACTACAATGCCCATGGCTGGCCGTTTGACTGACAGCTACTGGGCAGATGAATCGGGCAGACTGTCACCCCGTATCAAAGCTAGGGCAGGTGCTGACTGAGACAGGCCAAGCATAGCATATAAGGCCAACAGTAAATTAACTTTCTCAACACCCCTCTCAGCAGGTAGGCAGAGATACGACTTTGAAGAAGAAAATGGGGTAAGAGGGAAAGCAAAAAAGACAGAGTTGAAGAATAGCGCATGTAGGCACAGCGAGAAAAACTGAGTAAATGGTCTTAAGTTCCTGTGTGTGAGCAGCAGGCCCGTGGGTGTTGCAGGCATATGAAGTTGACTCAGCTCTCAGGTGGTGTCAGAGTGACTGGGTCTGAATACATTAGACATGGTGAAATAATTAGAAAGATACCATGTCACATTTCTCTGAATGTGCATTTGTTGGCTTTCAGCTGCATAAACAACATCGAGTGAAGTCGAAAATGTGGTCAATAGCTGTGCGCTGCCATTTGTTATGCTATGTTTTGATTTAATGTGTTTTTAAAACGCACACACTGCTTGTCATAGACATATTGATTTTTATACTTTGCATGCAAACTGTACCTAACCCTACATATAAACACAGCCCTGAGCCCTTGTAGAAATCTCTCTGCTTTTTTACATTTTCAAAAAAACATGATTTATGCTGGTTCCAAAAGGGGAACAAAAAAATATCCCCACAAGGCCAGATATTTCTGGCATTGTCAAATTGTGGGGATATTTTGTCCCCATAACGTAGGATTTACCTGAACCATATTGCAATTTCCATTGTACTACATTTTTCTCTTGCTATTTAGCCTTTTAAATTCATATCTATTTAAATTAGTAAGATTTTAGGGATTTATATGTCAAATCTTATAACAATTGAGGGTTGTGAGTGTGTTATGAGAACAGTAGTGACAAGTAAAATAGATATTTTACCATAAATGCAACTGTTACTAGCTAAAAATAGTGCAAGTGAGCCTGCCTTATAAACTCTTTAGGATTCCAATAGTTGACACATATACCTTCCAGCTATACCAGCCCAGCTGCCCTAATTCATCTTCATATCTCAATGTTCTCTTCCCCTTTGGTCATGGAAATGAAGATCAGTAGAAAGAATCACTGATTATTAAATCCCATGCATCAAGGTTTCAGAAGTATCCTCATTTAATCTCTAAATGCAGGGGGGGAAGGCTGTTGGGTCTTTATTCTTTCCCTTTAAAAAAAATAAAGTGATCAAGACCATTCCTGGATATCCATATTTGAATGAAATAAGGTTTGTTTACTTCTATCTACAGCATAAGTTACATTTCCGAACGTTTACTAGCCTAATTATGTTTAATACATTTAAAAAATGCTACTAAATACAGATACAGATGTGAATCTGCGTGTTTGACTAATTCGACAACCTACACAATAACAGTCTTTTGCCAGAAATCCAAAACCGCCATCGTAAAATCCCATTAGAAATTCCCAAGGGAGTTAATGTCTCGAAAATGCTAATTATTTCAGAGTTTAGAGCTGAATTTCACTATTCTGCTGTGTAAGAGTGAACATAGCAGCATCAGAAACTCGAGCTCTTGTCTTGGAGAGTGAGTTTCGCCCCCTAGTGGTGAAAAACTGTTTAAAATTGATTGTGTAAACTGTATATTGACAGTATAAAAAGTCTCACTGAACATGGGACATCAGTTTTTTGGGGGAAAATTGTGTAACCAAATCCCTGTGTTGCCAGTGTACTGATCAATTGCTCATTATGAAAGAAACTCACCCACTATACCTCCCATTAGAACAGCACTTACCCTCTGCTTTCTGTACACTGTTCAGTCAGTCACTGTAATTAGTGCATTTGTCCATCCTCAGCAGCTCTTGATGTATGCCTGCTTCTATGGCTAATTATCCACTGTATTGATCACTGGAGACAACTGTCTATTTATTTCCAGCAGTTGAGCACTTATTCTCCATTTGACATCCTCATTAGGATCCAGCAGAAGATATTTAACGGACCGTTAACATCTCATTCAACAAAGGCAAGACAAGGTTTCATTTGAGGAATTATGGCCTGTTCTGCTCACATGGACATGCTGGATGAAAACAGTGAGTCTTTCAGAGGCTGGGAATCAATTGTGTGGCATGGATTTCACCTGGAGGACTGGAGGAGACATGGAGTCATTAAAAGAGTTGCCTATTTTGAGGTAATTACTTGAATTACATTTTGGATTTGTTTTTCCCCTCTCAGATATTTTGTTTTAAATGGAAACATTTAAATATTTGAATGCAATGAATGTTTTGCTGAACTCTTTTTTTGTGTGTGCCACACGTGTCCTAATGACTCACTATAGTGATGCAATTAAGTTAACAAATAAAATTATTCGAATAATTAATGGTTACATTTAACTAAAGTTATCCAATATTTTTTTTACCAATATTCTTAGACCCTATCAGGTCTAGTAATTTATGAATTCATATGGGTCTCCAAAGGATAACATATGAACACCATACATAGCGTGCTAAATATTAATTCATAATTAACTTAATACATGCAAAAGGTGTAACTTCAAAGTGTGTTGTATCTAAAAACTCATAAAAAAAAGTGTGTTTTGATCATTGCCACATTTTTGTAAAATTGTGTTTCTCTTCCAGGTCATGAATGCATTATGAGGGTAAATAAAAACAGATTATATAAATATTTATATTTAATAAAAAAATTAACAAAGCTTAATGAATTCTGCAAAAAAATATGTTGTCATTGTTAGTTTGTTAACTAATGCATTGGAAAACCTTATTGTAAAGTGTTACCATTATTATTGTTATTATTTTATGCTGAGTTTTCTGTAGATTAATTTTATCATTGTGGCAGAAATAATTATTAGAAATGTAAGTGTAGACATTAATAATAATTAAACACAATTTATTTAAATAATATTAATGATTTAAAATATATATTTAAAATATTTTTTATTATTAATAATTTTTATTATAAATATTTTTTATATATTTTTTTATAATATAATTTTTTTTGTAATTTTTTTTATAATAAATAATTTCACAGTGGGCTGATATCTCATCAATGAGGGCTTTACTTTTCTTCATTTAAAGCTGATAATCAAGGTTATATGTCAATGAAAGTCCTACATTATTAAAGCTTGATGGGGGGTCGTCTCCCCTTACCAGAAGGATTAAACTCAAGCACTTGATGATATGATAGTTGGCAGTGTTATTGGAGTTCAGGGGTACAGCAAGGCTGATGAATTGCCCCTCACCGTCAGAGACAAATTTAGACCAGCTTGCAGCTCCAAATCCAAGACATGCCCCTCATATCTCTCAGCTGGCGTGTGTCCGTGTACTACATAGAGACACACTTCTGCAGACACACCTCACAAATACTCCAAGTAATGTATGACATGACATATTTACCCTGTTTTCTGGAAATATAAAGTCTTGCATGATTGACAGCGTTTTTGAATCTCAAAATGTGGTAACCTAAGCCAAATTATGCAACTATGTCATACATACTCTTGCTGTGATACTCAAATGGATATGCCTGTGAGGTCATCATGCATGCCATCTCTTACCACGTGACTGTGAGGGTCCGATCACTTTGCCCCCTGGCATAAGTATACCAACTTCAGGGTTCACCTAAACAGCCCTCAGTAGGCATCATGGACTTAAGGGATCTCTTCACCGTAGCCCAGTTCATAAAGATCAGGTGTGAACACGGCCTGAAAGCTGGTGCCACGGACACCAAGGATAAGAATTATGTCTTTTTTGAGGTGGAGATCCTGGACACCAAGAGCAAGGCACAACTCTGCTACCTGGATAAGGTGTGTGTGTTTGCATTGAGCAGTGTTGTTTTAATATTCATATGCTATTATAGTATTTATTATTATTTAGATTTTTTTTTAATGTTGTCTAATTGGATTTTCTTCTGAATATATTTTATATTAAGTTATTTTGTTGTGTTTTTGATTATCACTTTAAAAAAAGAAAAATTAATTTTGTTTTTATTGATTTTTATTTCAGCTTTAGTAGTACTGTAATAGTTGCCAAAGCAAAAATTTGAAAAGTTGAAAAGGTTTTTCAGTGAAAAAGGAAAAAAAAAAATCGAATTGTTTTTGTTAACATCACTTACATGGGCCATAAATCATATTTGAGTAAACAAATGCCTCTTGCTTCCTCAGGTGGAGCCAAACGCCACCGTTGCAGAGATCAAGACCTTGTTGCACAAAATTTGTAAGTGATTTCTATTCTTAAACAGTCAAAGACTTAATTTGATATGCTTATTCAAGCTTGGAAGCTTACATATTTATATAGTACAGTAATATGACCAAGCTTTTCTAAATATTAGAATTCTTGAAATCCTTGCAGATCCCAAGTTTTATCCATCAAGACAGGCACTGAAGCTGCATCCTGGTAAACTTACTTTTTATTTATTATTTAATATTTTCTATTCTGTTCTGTTCTGAAGAGAACCTTCAAAGTAGAAAGTAAAATAAAAACAGAGATAATTAATACCTCACACACCAGATGCTATTGCAATCTTAGAACATATGTGTGCATCTGCAATTCTCCTGCCAGAATATCAGGCATCATTTCACATTGGAGAAGTGAGAGAGTGAGAAAATTGCTGCTTTCAAAAAACTAAAGCTGTTCATACTGCGCATTATTTATGAAAATGAAAGCCAAGTGTGGTAACCCATACTCGGAATTTGCCCTCTGCACACACATTAGGAGTAGTGAGAAGTGTGACACAGCAAATATGGACACACACTCACACCAGTGGGGAGCATTTTTCTTCTTCTTTTTTTTTTTTTTTTTTTTTTTTTTTTGTGGTGAAACGCTCAGGGAGCATTTGGGGGTTAGGTGCACCTTAGTCATTTCCTGCCAGAATTGAGAATCAAACACAGAACCTTTGGGATACCAGTCTGACTCTTTAACCATTTGGTCAATGTTGTTTTTGTAATATATACCTAAACTGAGGTGCATTCCTCTTGATATTTATGTTATGACTGACTTGATTGATTCTCAGGGGGAAAGGCCCTCAGTGATGATGATGTGCTGGAGGATCTACCAGTTGGCACGACTGCAACCATGTTTTTCCAGGACCTCGGCCCACAATTAGGCTGGACTATGGTAAAGAAAGCAATCTGATGCATGCTTATTTAGACAATAGCAGTTCATACTGTGTGCGTGCCAGTAATTGTGTTTTTGTTGGGGGCTGATTGTAGGTATTTCTAGCAGAGTGTCTTGGACCTCTTTTCATGTACCTGCTGTTCTACTATCGGCTTCCATACATCTACGTGCCTGAGTATGACTACACCCGAAGTCCATTAAAAGTTGTCGAGTGAGTGGTTTATGCTACAACGTGAAAAATCATGTTCTGATGAGCTGAAATTGATGAAGTCTAGTGAACAGAAAATTGATCACCTTTACATTTAGTTTATTCTTATTTTGTTGGTGTAGCCTAATGCAGTGTTTCCCAACCCTGTTCCTGGCGGCACACCAACACTGCGTGTTTTCTTTGTCTCCCTAATCAAACACACCCGATTCAACCCATCAGCTCATTAACCCACCTGATTATGAGCTGATGGGTTGAATCAGGTGTGTTTGATAAGGGAGACAAAGAAAACACGCAGTGTTGGTGTGCCGCCAGGAACAGGGTTGGGAAACACTGGCCTAATGTGTTAAGGTTGGTTCAGTGGTGTTAAATAGTATTTTTGACTTTAGATGCTACCACATGAAGCACATTTTTAAGTTTTAAAAAATGCAGCTCGTGTAACTTTTTCTTTCAGTGTGAAAATAAATCATGAATAATTTACCAAACGCGTGGTAAACAGTTTTCAAGTGGTTTATCTTGGACCCTGTTGATACAGGCTGGCTTGTTGGTGCCACTCTCTTCATTACATCAAGAGACTCGTGGAAACTATTTTTATCCATCGCTTTTCTGACGGAACGTTACCTTTACGCACCATAATGCTGGTATGTTTATGTCTGTATTTTTTTTATTTAATATATTCATGAATTATTTACTTTTTTCTTTCTCTGTATTTAATATCCCCCTTGCTGTTTTCATGCACTAAAAAATAAGACAACATTCCAAAGTCATATTGTCACAATTGTTCCTGTCTTGGCACATTAGATAATGTGTCCGAAGTGCTTATGGCATTGGCATTAGTTCAGTGGTGTCAGTGAAGCATTGAGGAGCTTTAGGGGGGGATATTTGGCTGTTTTCCATTAAGTGTTGTCTTGCTGGTTTAAACGATGCCCCTACAGTATCTGTCAACACACTGGGAATGGTTTGCCCATATGGAAGAGTCATTCAAAATATTGCCTGCACAAATGCTAACAATGCAGCAAATGAGATGGCTTAAATTAAGTAAAACATGGCTCAGATATACATTTAAGGTTTCCCTTCAACATTAAGTCTGGTATTATTCTTTGAGCAGTTGTGTTAAGTGATCCTCACACACATTTATAATGTCATTTCTTTAGCTCTGTTTGTACTACTGGGGATTTGCAGCATGGCAGGCATATTACATCAATCATCCGCTCTACACACCACCAAGTAAGTGCTCATTTCACACATTAGATAAGTTTGTTTCCCTCTGATTAACTGCTAATTGTTTCTCTAGGCTATGGGAGACTTCAAATCTACTCTGCGCTGGTAATGTTTTTGGTATGTCAAAATCTCTATTAATTAAAGTCAAATATTTAAAGCTATTTTATGTAACTTCTTTTATTATTATTATTATTATTTTAATAATGAAAGTGCAAAAGGTCATCTTTTCTAAATCATGCATTTATCCAAGTTTGATAAACCTATTATATTGATAAATATTTTAGAGCTGTTAGGCAGTGTTGTAGTCGAGACCACCTCACTCGAGTCCGAGTCGACACCGAGACCAGAGAGAGTCGAGTCCGAGTCAAGACCGAGTCCATAGAGAGTCGAGTCCGAGTCGAGTCCGGGACCAGAGACGGTCGAGTCCGAGTCGAGACCGAGACCAGGGTTGATTACCTAATTTATTTGTCATGCGCAGTTACGCACTAGAAAATCAATCACTGGGCATGTCAATCAATTTAAAGAAATATTTTATTAACATACATTAATAATCATGAAAAATATTTTTAATTGAACTCAAGTGGACTCGGGAATAATTCCGAGTCCTGAAAAAAAAAAAATGTTCGAGTACGAGTCAATTCCGAGTCCAAATGGACACGAGTCCATGACAAGAACAAGACCATTAAAATATGGTCTCGAGACCGAGTCCGGTCTCGAGAGTACTACAACACTGCTGTTAGGACCAATTTTTTTTTTGTGATATTGCATGCTGTGCATAAGTCATTCACTTGTGCTTTGCAAAATCAGAGAAAACTCAAAACATGCATACAAAGACATGTTTTGTATACGTGTATACAAATACCTTTTACAAACCAATTGCAAATTCTATTTTATTCTACTATTGTATTGAAAATGTAATCTATGCTAAAAGCTTAACAAATCCTCTAATACCATTAAATATGAAGTGTCTGTATATCATGTGTTATTTCTTGAATTTGTAGGGCTTGTTTTGTTTGTTTTATAGATAAACGTTTAACTACAACTCTTCCTTTTCATTATACAAATGTGTTTTTAGAAATGTCTACAAATTTATAAAAACTGATCTGAGATCAGCTAAAAGCCTCTCAGGTTAGGACTGTAACCCGAGTTCCCTGAGTAGGTAACGAGACACTCCATCAGGTTGTTTACGCTTTGGGTACTTGGTTTCAGCTCATGTGAAATCACGCTAATTCTATTGGCTGCAGGTGAACATGATTTCACCAAAGTGTGGCTTTTTTTTCTCCATCATTTTTATTCAGGTCTGCGAGTTTGGCAATCTCTCAGTCCATCTAATTCTGAATCGAATCAGCTGTAATGGTGAGCCCTATAGAGATTCATCTCTTTAGTTGTGTGGGTGTAATCATGACCGATCAAGTCAGACAGTGAACCCAGTGATTGTGATTAATTACCATTTCTTTCTTCCATTTCATAAAGAAATGCGTGGGTGTGTGCTGTAAAATGATATGTAATTAATACCTGCTTCACAGACTAGACAATCCCCTGAATAGACCTTTAACTCTTTAGTTTCTTGAATATTATCCAGTTATATCCAGTTTTCATTACCTCATAACCTTACGATCTTCTCACACCGACAGGGTCCAGACCTACAGAGATCCCTTATCCCACAAAGAATCCATTCACTTGGCTGTTTTTCTTCGTGTCCTGCCCAAACTACACATATGAGGTTTGTCATGTGAACAAAGTAAGCTTTATCATGTCAAAAAAGCAGTAAATGAGACATTTGGAACGTCTGAGGTTGTGTCCACACCTGTAGAGAACAGATACCTCACAGATATGTTGTGAAATGTTTCTGGTAAAAGTATCCTTGTGGAAATATTGTTTTGTGTAGTGATGCAAAATTTGAATCAACTGCATTTATTTCCAGGTGGGATCATGGATCAGCTTCACAGTCATGACACAGTGTGTTCCAGGTACACAGTGTTACAAACCAACTGCAGAGTCCAAATGTCTGAGACCACATATCAAATCGAAACCTGTATTTATGACACAAAATTAATTAGCTATATTTAATATTGTGCTTTTTTCAGGCAACAATCTTTCAATTTTTAAATATTTATGCTGATTATATGGTGAAACGTTTTATAATCCTTTTAAAGAAGTATCTTGCTTACCAGGCTGCGTTTATGTGATCAAAAATACAGTACAACTGTAAATTCCTATGATGCCAAAGCTGTATTTTCAGCATCATTACTCTAGTCTTCAGTCACATGGTCCTTAAAAAATCATTCTAATATCATTATTTGGTGTTCAATTATTATTGGTACTCAATTATTAATAATGGTCCTCAACATTATGAATGTTGAAAATGATCTTTTTTTGTAAATTATGTGTATATATTTTTCTGCACCTGCTTGATGAGAAACATGAATGCTTCATATTTCTGCAGTTGGAGTTTTCGCATTTTTGGGGTTTATTCAGATGACTATATGGGCTCGGGCAAAGCATAACACCTACGCCCAGCAATTCGAAGACTATCCTGATCTGAGAACAGCCATTATTCCACTCTTCTTCTAGATCTGTTGGATAGACGATGAATCTACATGCACTTTGGTCATTGGACTTTTTTTTCAGACCTCGTTTTTTTTAGACACAATTAAGTTTGTGACGTACTCTCCAAAGTACTAACTGGTGATTAATTACTATTACTGTATTAATTATAAAGAGGCTTACTGAGCATTGACTGAGGTTATACTTCAAAGTCAAGGAAGATATAGCCTACTGACAGTGACTAAAGGCCCTGTTTACACGAGAACGCTCGCGGGTGAAAACGTACAAAATATTTTATCGGATGTGCCTTTTGTTTACACGGCGACAGCATTTTTGAGGCTTAAAAACACAAAAAAGAGAAACCACCCTCCAGAGTGGAAATCTTAAAAACGCTCCACCGCCGCGTTCCCGTGTAAAGGGTAAAAACGCAAAAGTCTGCTTGACTGTGAAGGTTGTACGCAGGCGCGCGGACTTGGTGGTGTTGTAGTATGCATTCCTAGCCGCCTGGAGTGCACACTACATTGAATTTCACACACTTTTGTATCATCATATGCACACGGATTGCCCACCCAAAACGCTCGTCTAAACGCAGAATAAAAAGTGATAACGCAACGCCACTTTTGCGTTTTCTCTTCAGAATCGTTTCAGTGTAAACATAGCCTAATACTCTTCAGACCATCAAGCTGAAAACATGGTGTACAGTATGATCCTGTTTTATTGTTATTCATTTTTGTATTCTATTAAAACAATTTGCAGAACGTATCAAAGTGTTTTCGTAGTAAAGAAAATGTTACTGAAGATTTTTATTTCTCAGAAATAAGTGATTCATGTCAGTATTTTCACGATATGTTAAAACAATCTGACAGAATAGTTTTTAATATTGAAAACCATTGTGTTATTGCATATTAAAACTATATTTGCTTAAAATATGTACTGATGAATACAATTGAAACACTCTATTCCTCAAAACAGACACATTTACTCACTGATTTTCACGGGTCTACGCCATGAGGTCAGGGTTTGGTGGTTGGTAGATGTGTGTATTCACTGCATAAAAAAACTCAAACCAAGTAAAGAGTTTCAGAGAAAGTGCCAGCCAGCTGACCCCTAGAATGAGTAACAATAAAAAAAAATCACTTTTTTTTTGCAAATTTGCACACGTTTCAGATTACAGATTTCAAATTTATTTAAGCTTATACTGTTGGTTTAACCAGTACAAAATTAACACATTATCAAAGTTTTATTAGAATGAAGCGTTTTGGTGAGTGCGTACACAGGCACTGCTGTAGCAGACGGTCTTTCATTCAGCATTTGAAAGATTTGTACAACAACGAAAATTGCAACACTAATATTTACAGACGTATAAATAATGAACGTTTCAGATTGTATGGGAACCTAAAGCAAGTTTTTTGGGCAACAACTTAGAAGTATTTTTCAAGAGTTTTATACATCTACATCACCTGACCTGCATCAATTCATCAACATTACTGTATCAACGAAGGTTTTCTTTCATTGGGTGGAGATAGACCTTTGGCTCTAAGGGCAGATGTTCAAAAATATCAAATATAATTTAAATCTGTCATTTTTTTTTTAAACTTAATATAGATGCAGTTGGTTTTGCATGTATAAATACATATATAAAAGGCTTTAGGGAACTTTATAAACACATAATCACTGTCCCTTTGAAGCATCAGAGTTCATTCTATCTGTTTTTTGACGTTACTCTTGGTAGTGGTGAGATCTTTTTCTCTCGTCTTGGCCCTGATGCTCTGAGATGAGGTGGGACAGTATCTTCCTCTCCTGACTGCTGCTTGGCAAAACTCACAAACACCTGTAAGGCAGGGAGATGAGCTGTCAGTCCTGATCGAATTCAATCTCCAAATGGGTTTTTCAACCAATAATTCATTTCTAATGGACGGTCCCTAAAGCACAGCATGTTCGTTTCACAGAATAAAGTCATTTTTTTCCTGTCTGTGCATGGTCAAAAGGAAATGCTAAAATAACTTAAGTCTTAACATGCTGTGAGCAGCTGGTATAGATTGACATGTATATGAAAGAGATTTGTTGCTTGATACTTTATCAAATCTCACCTGGTCTAATGTGGTCTGAGACACAGAGTAGTCCTCAATGTTCAATCTCTCTTTGTTGGTCAACACCAGCTGGAAGATTCGTGCCAGTGAACTGGTGGCGATTTCATATTGTAAAGTGTTGTAGTGTTTCTCTCGCTGTATACATCCCGGGAAGCTGCTTTCCATGAAGGACTCGGCCGGGCCCAGGTCAGGAGTCAGGCCTGCTTTTGCAGCTTTGATCTTCATCGTTACTACATAACCACCTCCAAACCTGTCCACAAGTACAATCAATACACACAAAATCAAGTATGCACTTGTTTTGTTGACCATTTGATAGAGATTGTTATGCATATCAGCATTAAAAGTTGAACATTTGAAGGGGACCTATTATGCAAATTCAAAAATGACAAATTCTTGATTTCGTTTTTGGGGTCTACTAGAATAGGATTTCATGCTTTAATGTTCAAAAACACCTTATTATTCACATATTTGACATCATTGCAGCACCTATATTCCCAGTCCGCCTGTAACTTTCTGTTTAGTTTCAGTCTCTGTGAAGCCCCTTGTTCCAAAAAGCGCAATAATATTATATATCACTCTGTATGAAACATTCTAAAACAATATACTTACTTGTATTTCAGATGCTGTATTGTGCCCAGACATTTAAATGTCCCATTAACCATGATGGCCAAACGAGTACAAAGAGCTTCACATTCTTCCATACTGTAAATGCAAACAAACAAACACATAAATGTAGAAATATTTTAATTTTATCTGAATAATAATGATTAATACATTAAAATAATATTTGGACACTTAGTTATTTCTTTCAAATCTATTTGTATTATATATATATATATATATATATATATATAAAGAAACTAAAAAACTATGCATGTGATTGAAGTACCTGTGTAATTGTAAATATATATTTAGATAATTTAACAACACATTTGCATGTTCACTGTTCTCTGATGCTGGTTAATGGCAACATGACATGCAAGTGAACAGATAAAATATCTAATCTTTTTCAGTATATTTATATATACAATGAAAAATATAGTATACACACACACACATATATATATATATATATATATATATATATACACACACACATGGTATAAGCTGTAAAGTGATAAATGATGCTCTTCACTCTGAAACACACAGTGCAACTGACTGTATACTTCATTATTTATTAAATTACATCCTGTTTGGGAAACTGACAAATACTTGCCTGTGTGACGTCAAAACGACTGCCCTTCCATCACGGATGATACTCAGAATGGCGGTCCACAAGAACCGACGGGAGTGAGGGTCCATTCCTGTGGTGGGCTCATCCTACGCACATTTACAGGGTTACATTACACCAATGTTTTGTTTTGCTCAATGACACTGACAATGCTTAGGAAAAACATACCAGGAGCACTAAAGGAGGACAGCCAATCATAGCAATAGCAGTAGACAGCTTCCTCTTGTTGCCCCCGCTGTATGTCCCAGCACAGTTTCCGGCATATTCAGACAGACCCAGCTTCTGAACGCCCCATTCTGCCACCTACAGAAAACATACAGTCATACATGATGATTGTATCAGAATGCTGTGAAGTATGTGTTCAAGTGTAATGTGCTATGTTCTTGTCCTGGTGTGTGTCATGTGGTGATGAATGAGGGGTCAGACTGTGAGTCTCACTCTGCTAATCTCAGATTCAGGGATCCCGCGAAGCCGCGCGTACAGGTACAGGTGCTCCCTCCCCGTCAGCAGTTCATCTATGGCATCAAACTGAGGACAGTAGCCCATGTTCTGGTGCACATCCAGTATGTTGGTAAGAATGCTGAAGAAAAGCAGTTCATGATTAGCGTTTACATCCAATACAATCAATACAACTAGTGGCTGTAGATTTGAAAATCATGCTTTCCCCATTATTGTTGAATTATGGAAGCTACACCAGATATTTTGCCAAGATATCTCTTATTTATTATTTAACCCATTCAGACCCTGTGTCCATTACAATGGACATCACATTTCAGCCCCCTTTTTTTAAACTTCTGGAGCATTTCACCTAGTTTAAAGCCTGCAGTCCATGAGACTGGACGTTTGTCATCCAATCAAATGCCAGTAAAGCTCTGCATGTAGTAATTATATTTAAAAACAACTCTACATTGAAGAGAAGCATGGCAGCACTTCACTCCAAACACAGAAGCAAGCAACATTTTCTAAGGTGTATATACATTTTGTATATATTTTTGCCAGTATTTCATAGTTTGCATGTAAAATAGAAAGATTGAACTTATTAATTAAAGTTAAAAATCAACTGTAGAATTGCACGTTTCAAATCAGGATTTTTTTTAAGTGTGTCTGTCCATTAGAACAGTAAGTTTGAAAGCCTTTCTTTTTAAAAAAAAATATATATATATATTTTATATATATATATATATATATATATTTATCACAGATACATTTTGGAAACTTTTTCATGTGCAGAATATACAGTTCTGAAGTGCTTGAACATATAAGTTCAAGTAATGAGGAAGATGAAGATGTAAGAAAAATATCCATATTTAGTATATTTGATAGACATTTAATCTAAAGTTTCTGTCGTGACAAAAACTATTTTACTGCACTCAGCAGGCCCCCCGGGGTCCGTGGCACCAAGCGCCGTCCCAAAATTCCACCATCCGCGAACCCACTATTTTTATAATGTCATAAATGCTACGTGGGATCTCAATATCTCAGCTCTGGAAGGGTCTAGAGCCTCCATTTTTGTACTCAGGTCTAAGTCTCATTGCCCTCTATCAGAATCCAGAGTTTCAAGAAGATCAGAGAAACTCAAAATTTCGACCCCCCCAAAAAAACGACAGTGGTAACCCTTTCGGTTTTTTTTCGATGCAAAAAAATAAGTTTATCCAATCTTCTCAAAACTCTGGATTCTGATAGAGGGTCACAAGACTTAGACCTGAGTGCAAAAATGGAGGCTCTAGACCCTTCCAGAGCTGAGATATTGAGTGCACGTAGCAATTATGCCATTATAAAAATCTCAATATCTCAGCTCTGGAAGGGTCTAGAGACTCCATTTTTGAAAACGGGTTGCGCATCTGAACCAATTCCAAATGTTATGATAAAGTATACCGATAGAGGGCGCCTTCGTGAAAACATGCTTAGTTGGACGACTCTGACCAGCGTCACTACAGTCAACGATGAAGAGAACCATGAGCGGGAAAAAAAGAAAACTGTACCAAGAAAATCGCACTTTTCAGACGATATGGGAAACAGACTACCTATTTACAGAATTCAAAGGGAAATGAAATATATCAAGTCGAAAGAGAGAAACAGGATCAGCGATGACGTTCTGTTTCAGCTCATGAGGATTGGCTGCACTAACATTGACATCCAGTCTATTGTACGCCAGCAAGAGAAACCACAAGTATCTCATTAACTGTAAACTTCCCTCTGTAGGTGAGATTTGGCCCTCGGATAGTGATGATAAAATATTTGTGGCCCTCACTCTCATCAAAGTTGCCCATCCCTGGTCTAGAGCCTCCATTTTTGCACTCACGTCTAAGTCTCATGGCCCTCTATCAGAATCCAGAGTTTTGAGAAGATTGGAGAAACTTAATTTTTCGCTCGAAAAAAAAAAAAAAAAACGAAAGGGGTACCACTGTCGTTTTTTTTTTGGGGGTTGAATTTTTTAGTTTCGATATCTCAGCTCTGGAAGGGTTTAGAGCCTCCATTTTTGCACTCAGGTTTAAGTCTCACTGCCCTCTATCAAAATCCAGAGTTTTGGGAAGATTGGAGAAATTAAATTTTTCGCCCGAAAAAAAAAACACGAAAGGGGTACCACTGTCGTTTTTTTTTCGGGTCGAATTTTTGAGTTTCGATATCTCAGCTCTGGAAGGGTCTAGAGCCTCCATTTTTGCACTCAGGTCAAAGTCTCATGGCCCTCTATCATAATCCAGAGTTTTGAGAAGATTGGAGAAACTTGATTTTTCGCCCGAAAACTGAAAAAAACGTAAGGGGTAACACTGTCGTTTTTTTTTTCGGGTCGAAATTTTGAGTTTCGATATCTCAGCTCTGGAAGGGTCTAGAGCCTCCATTTTTGCGCTCAGGTCAAAGTCTCGCGGCCCTCTATCATAATCCAGAGTTTTGAGAAGATTGGAGAAACTTGATTTTTCGCCCGAAAACTGAAAAAAACGTAAGGGGTAACACTGTCGTTTTTTTTTTCGGGTCGAAATTTTGAGTTTCGATATCTTAGCTCTGGAAGGGTCTAGAGCCTCCATTTTTGCGCTCAGGTCAAAGTCTCGCGGCCCTCTATCATAATCCAGAGTTTTGAGAAGATTGGAGAAACTTGATTTTTCGCCCGAAAACTGAAAAAAACGTAAGGGGTAACACTGTCGTTTTTTTTTCGGGTCGAAATTTTGAGTTTCGATATCTCAGCTCTGGAAGGGTCTAGAGCCTCCATTTTTGCGCTCAGGTCAAAGTCTCGCGGCACTCTATCATAATCCAGAGTTTTGAGAAGATTGGAGAAACTTGATTTTTCGCCCGAAAACTGAAAAAAACGTAAGGGGTAACACTGTCGTTTTTTTTTCGGGTCGAAATTTTGAGTTTCGATATCTCAGCTCTGGAAGGGTCTAGAGCCTCCATTTTTGCGCTCAGGTCAAAGTCTCGCGGCCCTCTATCATAATCCAGAGTTTTGAGAAGATTGGAGAAACTTGATTTTTCGCCCGAAAACTGAAAAAAACGTAAGGGGTAACACTGTCGTTTTTTTTTTCGGGTCGAAATTTTGAGTTTCGATATCTCAGCTCTGGAAGGGTCTAGAGCCTCCATTTTTGCGCTCAGGTCAAAGTCTCGCGGCCCTCTATCATAATCCAGAGTTTTGAGAAGATTGGAGAAACTTGATTTTTCGCCCGAAAACTGAAAAAAACGTAAGGGGTAACACTGTCGTTTTTTTTTCGGGTCGAAATTTTGAGTTTCGATATCTCAGCTCTGGAAGGGTCTAGAGCCTCCATTTTTGCGCTCAGGTCAAAGTCTCGCGGCCCTCTATCATAATCCAGAGTTTTGAGAAGATTGGGGAAACTTGATTTTTCGTCCGAAAACTGAAAAAAACGTAAGGGGTAACACTGTCGTTTTTTTTTTTCGGGTCGAAATTTTGAGTTTCGATATCTCAGCTCTGGAAGGGTCTAGAGCCTCCATTTTTGCGCTCAGGTCAAAGTCTCGCGGCCCTCTATCATAATCCAGAGTTTTGAGAAGATTGGAGAAACTTGATTTTTCGCCCGAAAACTGAAAAAAAACGTAAGGGGTAACACTGTCGTTTTTTTTTCGGGTCGAAATTTTGAGTTTCGATATCTCAGCTCTGGAAGGGTCTAGAGCCTCCATTTTTGCGCTCAGGTCAAAGTCTCGCGGCCCTCTATCATAATCCAGAGTTTTGAGAAGATTGGAGAAACTTGATTTTTCGCCCGAAAACTGAAAAAAACGTAAGGGGTAACACTGTCGTTTTTTTTTTCGGGTCGAAATTTTGAGTTTCGATATCTCAGCTCTGGAAGGGTCTAGAGCCTCCATTTTTGCGCTCAGGTCAAAGTCTCGCGGCCCTCTATCATAATCCAGAGTTTTGAGAAGATTGGAGAAACTTGATTTTTCGCCCGAAAACTGAAAAAAACGTAAGGGGTAACACTGTCGTTTTTTTTTCGGGTCGAAATTTTGAGTTTCGATATCTCAGCTCTGGAAGGGTCTAGAGCCTCCATTTTTGCGCTCAGGTCAAAGTCTCGCGGCCCTCTATCATAATCCAGAGTTTTGAGAAGATTGGAGAAACTTGATTTTTCGCCCGAAAACTGAAAAAAACGTAAGGGGTAACACTGTCGTTTTTTTTTCGGGTCGAAATTTTGAGTTTCGATATCTCAGCTCTGGAAGGGTCTAGAGCCTCCATTTTTGCGCTCAGGTCAAAGTCTCGCGGCCCTCTATCATAATCCAGAGTTTTGAGAAGATTGGAGAAACTTGATTTTTCGCCCGAAAACTGAAAAAAACGTAAGGGGTAACACTGTCGTTTTTTTTTCGGGTCGAAATTTTGAGTTTCGATATCTCAGCTCTGGAAGGGTCTAGAGCCTCCATTTTTGCGCTCAGGTCAAAGTCTCGCGGCCCTCTATCATAATCCAGAGTTTTGAGAAGATTGGAGAAACTTGATTTTTCGCCCGAAAACTGAAAAAAACGTAAGGGGTAACACTGTCGTTTTTTTTTTCGGGTCGAAATTTTGAGTTTCGATATCTCAGCTCTGGAAGGGTCTAGAGCCTCCATTTTTGCGCTCAGGTCAAAGTCTCGCGGCCCTCTATCATAATCCAGAGTTTTGAGAAGATTGGAGAAACTTGATTTTTCGCCCGAAAACTGAAAAAAACGTAAGGGGTAACACTGTCGTTTTTTTTTCGGGTCGAAATTTTGAGTTTCGATATCTCAGCTCTGGAAGGGTCTAGAGCCTCCATTTTTGCGCTCAGGTCAAAGTCTCGCGGCCCTCTATCATAATCCAGAGTTTTGAGAAGATTGGAGAAACTTGATTTTTCGCCCGAAAACTGAAAAAAACGTAAGGGGTAACACTGTCGTTTTTTTTTCGGGTCGAAATTTTGAGTTTCGATATCTCAGCTCTGGAAGGGTCTAGAGCCTCCATTTTTGCGCTCAGGTCAAAGTCTCGCGGCCCTCTATCATAATCCAGAGTTTTGAGAAGATTGGAGAAACTTGATTTTTCGCCCGAAAACTGAAAAAAACGTAAGGGGTAACACTGTCGTTTTTTTTTTCGGGTCGAAATTTTGAGTTTCGATATCTCAGCTCTGGAAGGGTCTAGAGCCTCCATTTTTGCGCTCAGGTCAAAGTCTCGCGGCCCTCTATCATAATCCAGAGTTTTGAGAAGATTGGAGAAACTTGATTTTTCGCCCGAAAACTGAAAAAAACGTAAGGGGTAACACTGTCGTTTTTTTTTCGGGTCGAAATTTTGAGTTTCGATATCTCAGCTCTGGAAGGGTCTAGAGCCTCCATTTTTGCGCTCAGGTCAAAGTCTCGCGGCC